TGGGGCGATGAACAGTATTCCCATGTGACTGTCAGGGGACAGGGGTGGAGTAGCCTTGCTCTGCTTTCCTCTGGACAGTCTTCATCTCCTCCAGGGTAAACCAAGGGTCTAGAGCAAAACTTCAGGTGTAACGTACAGCACGATGACTAGTCATTAGTACTGTGTTGTATATTTGAAAGTTGCTAATAGATCTTAAAAAAATCCCAAAATAACCCCTTATATACGTTTACCAGGCTTACTACTGCAAAAGTTAAAGAGAATATTCAGAGAATTGAAATAGACCATAGGATTGTAGTTTTGTTTCCACCCCCATGATTAAATAATAATTCTTGCTGCAATGTTGGCCCTAATTACATGTCCTCTCCATCTCTGACTCTCTACAGTCAAAAATTAAATTCACCAGTCCTCGAAAGTGAGCGATTTTCAGTCCTCACTCTTCTTTCTCTGTGTGTGGCTCCTTAATCTGACATGGTTTAAAGGCAGCTCCCACTTCTCCCAGGAGCACAACATTCATAATTGGAATGCACCAGCTTGTGGGGAAGTCCGGGATTCCCTGGGACGAAGTAGGGCTTTGCGAATGCTCTAGAAGGAGTGAATATCTTCACCAGAGGCTGGTTAACACCTACTGCTCTTGAGTTGTGAAGTAAACCCCTAGTCTGGGCTGGAAGCCAGTCAGGCTCCAGGCAAGTTGCTGATGGCTGACTGCCCTGCCTCCGACCCCTACTTTGGGTTTCTCAGCGGTTTGAATTTGCTGGGCTAAGAAATGGTGAAAGCTTTCTATAAAGTATTTGAGCTAAACAGGACAACTGGGTGCTCAAAATACCAGCTAAAAACACAAATTCTTTACCTAACTGAACATAATGTTCTATTTTCATTGTAGATGAAATGTTCTATTTGTTCCTATTTTCATGTTCTATTTTCTGACTATAAGTTTGTTCATACTCAAAATTGTCTACAATGGACTGGAATTAACTTATGAGAGAACGAAATGACATGAGTCATACTCACAAGAAACACTCCCACAGAGAAAGTGATGCTTTGTAGAATATTTGTAAAACGAGGCAGTTTACTGTCTTTCATCTTCCTTAAGTCTGAAATTGAAACCTTCAAGACAGGTTAAGTCTTCAACACTGACTCTCATTGAAAAACATGGTTTTAATTTACAAAAGACAAAGGGGGTATACATTTGTAAACATTTATTCTCTTGAACTGAAAAAGGCTTGCATCAGCACACATTGTACAGCCTTGCGAATTGAAAAAAAGGTTCCTTGTTCATAAGTGCAATGAATCTTTGATGTCCAGTGATCCGCTGCAAACAATGAAAACACATTCTAAACCACTTGAAGAAGTTTCCAGCATTCATCAAATGCATTTCCTCAGGTGACAAAAAAATCCACAAGGAAGGGAATGAAAATAAGTGGCATTTAATTATTGGAGGGAGATGTAAAAAAAAAAAAAACTGGAAGTATTTTCCTGCCTAGAATGATTCCTATTCCCCTTTGAACCTAAGTGGTTTGATTAAGAGGCATTAAGAACATAATTTTATTTACCCTTAATATTCATACGACCTAAGTGAATAAGGAAAAGACCCTACTAGGGAGTTCTATATTTTCTGGAAATTGTTTCTGTGTTTAGAGATACAGGGGAAGAGTAATTTTCTATTTGTGGGCTCTCCTTAGTCACCCTCCAGCCCCGCAAAGACAGTGCATGGTTGTGACTTGGTTATTACACTCCTGCATTCTTTTCCCCCAAATTCTATGTTGGGTCACACTGTGCTGGCTGCAAAAAAAAGAAATACAGGTTGCAACTGTTTGTAATCATTCTGAAGGATAATTTGCTGTACAATAGAGCTTTGGATCTGATACAAGAATTCAGAAATATAAAACAAAATAACTATAAAAGTTAGGAGGCAGTTGAACAGCATTTCCTCAGAAAAAGCTGCTAACTCTGTATCATTCCGATGTGGATTCCTATAGTCATTTGGGGTGAAATGTGTATTTTCCCCCCTTTGCTGGATCACCGGCCTGCCTTCAGAAGTTGCTAACACCACGACCACACATCCTAGGAGTCTCTATCATGTTAACAGAAGCTCCAAATACCAAGCCAGTTAAAGATGGGCGAGGACGGGGGAATCACAGAGGCCATGGGTCCAAGGTGGCTGTTACTGAGAACTTGCCCTTTCCAAAATGTGAAAGTCATAGTGCTTCTTGCTCGTTCTCAGCTTAAACTTGTTAACCGAGTTAATCTGTTTCTTCAGAGCATTCTGCGCGGCGGAGATGGAGGGGAATGTGGCTAAGACAGTGTACGTGGAGGCCAAGTCACTGGGTTTAGAGCGTTCGGGGTTGACAGTGCTGTCCCCGCTGCCACAGCAGAGGGGGTGACGACGCAGCTGGGGCTGGGACTGGGGGTCCCGGAGCCACCGGATCTTGGCGCCAATTTTAAAGAGTTCCCCAAAAAGCTTCTCGGCTTCCACGCGAGTTATTCCATCTGGCAGTTCAGTAATTTCCAAGACCTTCCCAACAACTAGAATGGAAAAGGTGTACAGTTAATAACCCCTGTTACCCACAGGTGGGCAAAAAGTACTGCAGACACAAATATGACACAGGAAACGAACATAACTTTCTGAAACCATTCAAATCCACAGAGTTATACGTGTTATGGCCGTCTTCTAAACATTTCCTACCTACTCCTCAGGCAGCCACGCTGGCAGCCTCAGGTACAAAACGCAGCCTGTGCAGTGGCGTCTCCAAACTAGGTGTGGGATCCTGGGCACACAGGTTCCTGCACTTCGAATTCCCATTGTAAAACTGCACAGGATCTTTAAAAGAGCACCTGCCCTAACGCCCCCAAGGCTGCTGAAAAGCAAGTTAAGGTACCGACTTGAAAACACCCTGCCATAGAGAGGCAATGTATTTGTTCTTTCAGCCTGTCGCCTAAAGGGTGTAAGGACTATTTCCTTTCTCAAAGAATACAGAGGCAACGCGTTTCATTCTACCTGTTCCTCTCTCACATCTCTTTTGAATCCCTTTGGTCCCTTCACCCCTCCTAAACCCACCTGTACCTCAGTACTCTCAAATTCTGAAACGAGACGGAATCAAAAGAACACGTTCAAGAACCCTACATTATAGATGGCATAATTTTCTAAGACTTTGTGCAGGACTCTAGAAGAGGAAAGCCCGTTTCTGTGGTGTGGCAGTTTTACAGACTGTCAGGCCAACAGTTTGTAGAACCACATCCGTATTCCTCTTGGGGACACACCTGCTTCTCCTGCACCAAGGTCGGTGGATGCAGCTTTTTTAGCTTGTTTCCTTCCTCGGTTTCCATGCCTGCTGCCAGACTGGCCCTGAAAATCCACAAACATGAGTAATAAGGTTAACAATGCCGCAAAACGTGACTGCAATTGCTCGACCGCTTAACGCATAACCATACTCGGTCTGGGTTTTCTACTTCAGCAGGCAAAAAACCC